GGGGTGTAATCTGACCTTCATAGTGAGGGTAGGGGTGTAATCTGACCTTCATAGTGAGGGTAGGGTTGTAATCTGACCTTCATGATGGGATGGGGGCTCAGTTTTAATAAACATAAGGCTTCTGTTCTTGTAGCTGTGGTTTGTGTGCTCGTAGCCTGTTTGGACCAAGGTTCTGATGTAGTAATGAAGTGGGTCGGGTTTTTTCGGGGTTATCTTATTCTAAAGTCTCTGGTTCTGTTCAGGACTCTGTGTCCCACTCCCTGCTCCGTCCAATGTGTCCATCTCCTCCTATAACATGAGGCACTTACTCAAGGTTTGGCCTGGCCCACAGATCCCCCCTGAAGCCCACTTCATGGTTCAGACCCTTAGCTCCAGGTAAGTCCAGCTCAGACTCTTGGATCAGAAGAACATTTATGGTTTGCTGTTTCCACACAGACACTTATTCTGAGTTATTCATGTTCAGAGTTTCAAACTAAAATGAATCCTGCAGAAATGTTGATGGTGTTGTCTGTAAACCCAACAAAACTTTAAAACTTCTTCAGTGAAAAACACTCTGGCAGCAGAAAGGCAGAGTAAAAAGTAAGTCTCAGAAAAACCAACTGTGTGAAAACTAGAATTCAGTTGACCTTCATTTTCCTTTCTGAAAGGTCCAAATGACAAAACTCTCCTTTCTGAGGAAAACGAAACCATTTGGTCCCAGCTGTGGGTTTGTTGAATCTGGTTCTCCTCCTGCAGGAGGAGCAGGTGGAGGTCTGTGCAGGACTGTTCAGACCTGAAGACCGGACAGACGTGTAATTTGACAGACCACTTTCTGAACGTGTTTGATCACTACAGAGCCCGGGTTCGAGCCTTCATGTCCAACCAGACGTCCAGTTGGACCGTATCGAGAGAGTTCCAGCCTCTGACTGACAGTGAGACACCCCAACACCGCTACAGGACACTGGGAGGGGTCAAAGGTCAGACAGAAAATGCTGGGTCTTTCATTCTGGTTCAGATCAGGTCTGTTTGTCTCCACAGCCGTGCTGGGACCTCCAGAGGTGTCCGTGTCCGGCTGTGGGAACTGTTTGGTCCTGCAGGTCCGAGTTCCCACTGAGGATCTGATCCAACACAACCCCCAGCTGAAGGACATCTTCTGGGACCTGGTAGTCCACGTTRGGAGGACCAGAGACGGAGCCCATGTCAGTTCCATTTTATCACCTCATCTTTTTGGTTTTCTTCTTTTTTCCTGCAGCCAAATGTTTGAAATATTAAGAAGTAAAAACAAAACACAGGCAGCTGGTTCCTCATCCTTCACTCATGTCTGCATTCAAGGAACCGAGCGAGCTGAGGAGAAACGAAAGAGAAGAGGCTGACAGGATGTAGACCACAGATCACAAAGTGTCATAAAAACATTCATTTTCCTGCTCTGACTCAACTGGTCTGAATTAAAACCACTTCCTGTTGCTTCCTGAGTTAACTAAACTAAACTAAACCAAACCAAACTAAACTAAACTAAACTAAACCAAACAAAAGTAAATTTGAACTAAATATAACTGAACTGAAGTCAAGTAAACTTAGAATAAATTAAACTAAAGTAAACTTAAAGTAAAATCAATTTAAGTAAAGTAAACTTAAACTAAAGTAAACTAAAATAAAATAAAATAAAGTAAACTTAAGCTAAAGTAAAGTAAGCTTAAAGTAAAGTTAAAGTAAAGTAAAGTAAACCAAGCTAAACTAAAGTTAAACTCAACTAAAGTAAAGTCAACTTCAAGTAAACTAAATTGAACTGAACTGAAAACTAAACTTAAATTTAAACCAAAACTTAAACCTAAATTAAACTAAATTATTATAAATATATTAATAAAATAAAACTGATCAAAAACAATGAAACTAAGTGTTTATTTTCAGTCTAAAGGGTAAGAGTTCAGTTGGTCTATTTTTTGTTTACAGCATCTCTTTCATTACTTTGACACAGGAAGTGAGAAACTTTGAAACAGGAAGTGACATATTTTCATAAAAACATGCAGWAACGTCATTTTCTGACTTGAACTTCAAATATTTGTAAGGAATTATAAAGAAGAGAGTTAGTGTCCATGGTTGTCCTGTCATACAGTGGACTTATGTCCATTTATGTCTTGTAGTTTGTAAATGTTAATAATGAATGTTCATGTCACAACAGATTTAGTCCTGGAGTTCCTCAGGGTGCAGTTCTCGGACCGATACTTTTTAGCTCATGTTTTTGTCCTGTGATCCAGAACCGTCCAGCTCAGTCCTCTGGTCTGTTAACGTTCTGTTCGTTGTTGTCTCAGTTCAGTCTGAAGCTTCCCTACAAACCTGAGAGCATCATCTCGTACCTGCAGCCAGGTGTGGAGTACTGCGTCTCCGTCTCCGTCTCGTCCAGATTAAACAAGAACAGCGTCTCCAGTGTGCATCAGTGTTCCTACACCAGCCCTCCTCCAGATGAATCGTCAAGTACGTTTCTGGTTCTTACCTGTAATAAAAACACCTGCAGCAGCAGGAGAGGAACCTCCTCTGGATGGACTTCCTGTTTTGTTGAAAAGAGGAAGTCCAGATTAACGGTTTCTCAGCAGGAGAACACCAGATGTTCAGGAAATGCGTTTTCATTAAAACCTTCAGGTTTAGGTTTAAGAACTGTTTTTGTTTCGTCCCTCAGAGGTGGTTGTCCTCTGTCTCTTGWCCGTCTTCAGCGTCGCAGTGTTTCTGCTGCTGGTGGCTCGTATCTTCAGAACTCAGGTAAGGAAGGACCTTCAAAGTGGACCGGTTCCACAGGTTGGAACCCACAAACATCAGATCCTGCTCAAACATTTAATCTCTTCATTTGATGAGTTCCAAACTGAAATAAAACTAAAACTCTACAGATGTTAAAACAAATAATGTTTACATTTTATTCTTCCATAAAAAGGGTCTGGTTTYGGTCCTGGTTGTGGTTCTGGTTTAGGTCCTGGTTGTGGTTSTGGTTTGGGTCCTGGTTGTGGTTTAAACCTTACTTTCATTTTGTCTCTCAGGTCCAAACCTGCATCTTTTCTCAGCTGGACATCAGATCTCAGTCCTCCACCTGCCTGATGAAGACCCCTCTGACTCAAGAGACCAGAACCTGAACCCTGAACAGCCCACTCACCTGAGCCCAGAAGAGTCCATTTACCTGGACTCAGAGGGGTCCTGTCCACCTGAGGTTTTTTAAATAAACTTCATGATTTCATGCCTTTCTGTTGCTTCATTCATGAATAAAATAAAATTGTATCATTTTTATTTTCTCAGAAAAATCAATACACTTTTTTATTTCAAATAAAACTTATTTTCTTATTCCTAAATATGTTTGTTAAATCAAACCTTGTTCTCTTATTGAGTTA